TCTCTTCCTCTCTTTCTTTCGACCTTTCTATCTCTCTTTCCCTTTCACCATTTTTATTTATTTATTTATTTATTTCTCTGTTTCTCCCTTTTTCCTCCCTCAAGCTTTCGTAGAATCTACCGTAATTGTAACAAATAATCGCTGTAATTGAAACAACAATACGCGTACGCTACGGAAAACGTTATCCATAAAACTTTCAAACAATCTCCCGAGCATGGAACGCACGTGACCGCCGGGCGGGTAAAGTATTAATTGTCTCCTACACGAACAATTCCTCCGCAGGGTGAAGCGCAGGCAGATTCCGCGAGTCTCGTCGCGTCGCTGCCGAATCTCTCGTTCTCTCGTCCTGTCTCTCGTGTTTTTTCTCCCAACGATCGCACGCACACGGAGGAAACTTGACTCGATAGAGCCCTCCGCCCGCAATCTCGGGCGAGCAATAAATCTCAAGTATATAGGTCGAGAAATCATAGTTGTCGTTGCAATTAATCGCGGTGAAATGCACTATAATTACACACGATTGTTTATCGGCGATGCGATGTGACGTTACGTACGAAAAGGACGCAAAAACCGAGCCGAACAAGCGCGAGATCAAGATCGTGATGAGGGCGACACGACGACGCGGCCACAGCCGCTGGGACCTGCACTTCATTGTCACAGCCCTTTACCGCCGGCGCGGACGCTTCGTGCGTTACATGACTCCCTCGTAATAATACCTCCTCTCAGTAGGCCAAACGCATCGAGTTTCGTCGTCGTTTTCAAAAATATATACGCTGACTACTTAGGCTTTCGACGAACGGAAAGACGTCTCGTCCAATATATAACCGGGATAATTCTTTCTTTTTGTTATTTTGTTAGTTTTTTTTTCTCTTTTTTCCCTCTTTCGCGTCCTCGCTCCTTCTTTCTTCTCGGATATACAGCGTGTGTTATACCATCTAGCGTACTTCGTTTATAGCCTAGGTATAAGTGAGACCCTCATATGATCCATTTGAATTACTTCGTTTCGCATTTTTCTCTCTTTTTTTCGTAATTTTTCTCGCTCGCTCGCTCGCTCTCTCTCTTTTTCTCTCTTTCTCTCTCTCGTTCTCGCCCTCTCTCTCCCACGCTCTCCCATTCTCTCTCCCTCTCTCGACCGTGTGAAACATTGAGACGTATCGCACTATTTACATGGTTTTAATCATAATCGTAATGGAAATAAATGCAAAAATATATGTATATGTATGAACATTTAGTCGAGCTACGAGCTATCCGCGCGAATCCGCATACAGCCGCCCTCGATGCGAATCCTCTCACGTGCGCGCGGCTCCCCCGACACGGCCGTCGCGCCGGCAGAGAGTGTGTGTCCTCTTTTCATTCTAAAAACTAAAAACCATCGTAGCAATTAAACTTACGTACTATTGTCTTTGTTCAAGATATCACTACGCCAAGATATTCACTGGTATGGCTCCCCCGTTCTCGCACATTTTTCTCTCCTCGCACGAATCTCATTCTCTCTCTTTCTCTTTCTCTCTCGCTGATTATGTTACGCCATCATCTCCATCACACCTCCCGCGTCCTCGTCTCGAATCGTCGAACCGTCGCCTCATTGAGCTCTCCCAATTTCCCGGAACGAAGTTTCGAAACGTGCGAAGATTCCGCTGGAAATACTGCCGCTCGAACTTAGGATAAATTCTGATTCCGTACGAGAGCGAGTGTTGCAACTCATCCGACAGTGAGACGCATCGGATTCGCTCTTCAACGTCGAGCAAGGATAAACTCGATCATTCGAATTCATCCTACGCGAAAAGCGAAAAATAACTCGAATCGAGCGGCTGTTACTCCGAGCATTTCGAGTAAAATTTCGCCCGAGAAAATGTAAAAAGCGGCACGCTCCCTCGATTTTCGCACGATCGTGGGAGGGAGCGCGCTTAACATGCACGAGCTGTCGATCCGTCGCTCGCGTGCGCGCGGCGAACGTAAAGGCTCGCAGGATCTCCGAGAAAGCCGAAATTACCAGTAAAACACAAACGCATTTTTAACGTACGTATTAACGTGCGACCGAGCGTATGTGTTTCGTCTCACACCGATTAACGTCGTAGGAGCGTAACACGACGGATGATTCAATGTGTTTGTACGTATATTTGTGTGCGTGCGTATGTGTGTGTTGTGTGTAAAGGATAAAGGTATACGGACAATAACACACCGGTCAATGGACTACCTACAGTATTGACTTCGGGTTCGGCAGTGAAGACTCCGTTCTCTCTACGTACGACAACGTGTCGTTTTTTTCCACATTTTCGTAAGTCACACAAGTTACTCGAGGGACAACGCAACGCACGCAACATAAGCAACGCAGGTGGTCGGGGGGATAATTAAAGTGCAACGCGCGAGTTATGATATGCAAATGCGTTTACGCTGCAACTCGGTGCGTGTAACCTTTTCGATTCGACGCGGCACGTATGATTCTTGCTCACATGTAGGACAGCCTGAGCTCGATCGGAAGGTGGCAGTCGAGTGTCTGAATTGGGGATTGACGCTTTACAAGAGTCATGAGAATAAATTAGCGAGGGATTTTCACGTTTGCGGAAACACTGGGAGGACAAGTCGCTAAGTCATCTTAAAGTGTCGAGGCAGTGTAAGTGGGAGAATTTACCGTAGCGTTTACCGCGAGGAGATACAATTTCGTTCCTTCCCGAGGATGTGTACATAGCAGCCGCCTCGCAATTATCGCGAGGATCACGATCTTCCCTCCCGTGAAAGACGATTGGCTTCAGGCTTTCCTGAGCACCTTGCGAAAGAGGCGGACTCGTCATTTAGCGCAAAGTGTGACTATCCAGCATCAAGCGTCACCGAGAGGAGAATGTCGCGAGCGGACCGTGGCACATTTAGCGCTAAACTCGGCCATCTAACAGCGATGCCGCGTTCAAGGAGAGACGCCGTTAACTCAAATAGCGTCGTAAACGACACGGGGGAGGGTGGGGAAAGAAGTCGCCGCGCGCGCTCTCTACGACGCGCGTTCCTCTTCTCCTTGTAATAACGATTGTCTCGCCTCGAATCGTCGGGATAAGCCGACGCGAAAGTAAACAATGGACGGTCATGACGGATATGCCCACTCCTGCGAAGCTGCGAGCTCTACTATATTAAAGGGGCTATCACGCGCGCGCGATTATTAACTGCTATCTCGGAAATCAATATCAGTGAGATCGTGCGGTAATCAGTGCGCAATACGGAAACGGCGATACCGATATACGCCTCGGAACTCGGATAACCAATGTCAGTCTGCGACTTGGAAGACAGATGAATGAGACTCGCGATATATTGCGCGCGTATCCGGCTGATCCGTATCATTTTGCGATGTGTATTTCCTTACTTTTGGAATTTCCCGGAGTGAAATTTCACACGAGACGATGAGGGAAAACGAAGCGGTTATTATTATTAACGAACGTTTCAGTCAAGCTTAGAGAGGATTCCGATTCCGTACGAGTTTCAATCGATCAGAGTGAATTTGACTATATTCAAGAAACACAATAGTTGGGTGAACGCTCATTGGGCTATTGCTTTAGGAGCCGTTCAACAATCATTCGAATTTAAGCTGACTTTGTTTTTCGAGTAAAATTTCACTCCAAGAAACTTGGAGAGTACAGTCGGCAAATCATAAAGATTGCGACATTTGTTTTTTCGATGAGTTTCGCAACGTTTCTCGTATCCGATAGGAGAATTCTTAGTAAGCAAAGAATCATTGACACAATGTTATTAGAATGATATTTTATATGTAACGTTTTCAAATATATAGCTTTCAATATTGTATACAATGTTATCGCTTACAATATTTGACCGAAATATTAAAAATAATATTTCTACATTATGATTTTAATATTTAGGAATATTATATTATCAAGTAACAGTTTAAAAAGATTTATAATAAATGCTTCGAAAAATTTATTTAACGTTTCTTGCATAAGTTCGTCTTTATTTCAATAATTCTCGGGAAATACATTTTCCTATTGGATTCGATTTTAATCTGCCGACTGTATACAATATCCGGTGACAATCCGTCGAACGACGGATTTCTTCTTTCGCTGCAGCACAAGAACACCGATCTCTCAAAGAGCGTGCGATATTCTCATTTCTCCCAGTTTCGAGCCGTGACATTAGCTAACGTTCGCATCAACGATATCTCTGCCGATCACCGCGTTATCTCGCGCGATTACACGCTCGCGAGCAGCTTGAAATCTCCGTTTCGCATGGTCGAAGGATACCTCAGAGATGTTTCGCGGATTTGCCGACCGTCTTTGACACAACCGTGCATAGTGATATCCAAACGCAATCGTTGCGACGCGACAGCATACACGATCGGCGGCGCGAAGTAACCGAAGCAACCGAAGAACGAAATTATTGCCGCGGGTGTGTCTGATTGCGCGTATTTACAGAAAATATATATATATATGTACCTACTTTCCGACAGCGTCAATATTTGGATTCTCGATCGTTCGACGCGTCGTATCGATTCCTCTTTCGGGGCACGAAGTAACGCTAAGGCGAGCGGACAAAGACTACGAAGAGCTACAGAGCAAGTGAAATCGGGGAAAGATGGGAAGGCAAGATAGCGGTAGGACCATCCTCGGAGGCTGTTACCGTCGCTCGCTCCTCGGTCGATCAACATATCCCTACTTAGAATTCAATCGCGCTGTAGGAAGCAGCCGCGGAAGGGAAAGGCGTGTTTACAGCGAACTTACCGGTGCACCACCCTCGTTCTCTTTCTCGCATGCACACACACATTCTCTCTTTCGCTCGCACTCTCTATTTACACACTTTCTTTCTCGCGCACAAAACAGAGTCCTCGAGATTGTTCAGGCGCATGATGAGTGCCGGGCCGTCAGCTGCCGTCGCTCCGACGATCCAAGTCCCAGAGAAGGATTCGTCTACAGGCGCGTGCTCCTCTCCGTGACCGGCTGGTCCTCGTCGTCCTGAGCGACCGCGCGGTACTTGCCGCGCACCGAGCTGGGCCCGAAGATCGGCGAGCCTCAGACAAGATGGCCGTCGATGTCGGAGTACGTCGGCGTCGCGGTGAACGTCGAGAGCGGGTGGCTCTGGCACGGGGGCGGCGGCGGCGGCGGTTGCGAGTGGGGGTTGACGGCGCGGGCGAACGTGGCCGGCGGCGGCGGCACCGACGGCGGTATCGGCGACTTGGTGCCGGCGGTCATCACGGTGACGTCCGGCGGCGGCACCGGGCGCGGCAGCGTCCTGGTGCGCGTCAGCGTGCCGGTGCTACCCGCGACGTGTCCCATTATGTGGCCGGTCGAGCCCAGGGACGACGGGTAGTAAGGCCCGCCGGTCGGCTCCCCGATAGAGGGCGGCGCCGGGCTCGGGTTGCCGTCGTAGCCCAGGTAACGGCCGTTGTCCATCTCCACGCTGTAGAAACTCACGTCGTTAGGCGGCGCCGGGCTCGGGTTGCCGATGTAACTCGACTTCGACACTGTAACGTTAGACGAGGTGACGTGGAAGTAACGTTAGACGCGACTCGATGGACCGCCGCCTCACCCTCTCCTCCGATTGTTTCTTATGTCGCTTCCGACCGCCGGCGGTTGTAAAGTCACTCGAGTGGACTTGGCGGAAATTCGAGAAACGTCAAGCTTTCTTCTCAATGCTCACCCCCCGGACTCAATCTTCAGTATCATACATAACGCGTCAACAAGTTGACAATTGCGACTCTAGTTGTAACGGTAGAATTATAACATGTGATCCTGTCGTTATGATTATTCAATATTATGAGTTATGTAAAAATCGTGTAATTTAAGGAAAACATTCGTGACGCACCAAAACTCCATTAATGCATTCCCTAGGTATAATTACATTGAAAATTTCCAATCAGGCGGATTATGTCCGAATATTCGTGTATCATGATGGCAACGATGCTCCAAAGTCATGATGCACAAATATTCAGAAATGAAAATGCGCTTAATTGGACATTTTCGATGTCACTATGCCTGGGAAATAGGATTATATTAATGGAGTCTCTTCTGTATAAAATTATTGTGGGAATCGTACAAGGTGAGTCACTTGCTACCTAAAATAGTGTAATAAATATTGATCGATGTAAGTATTCACTTTTCGATAACATCACTTTGAAAGAGTGCTACGAACAATTGCAATCTCGAGCGATAAAGTCAGAGATACAAGTTGAAGTGTGACTTGTAAGTTGATCTTGATGGCAAACATACCCGAAAGAGTCCCGCTGGCGGTGGTTCTCTGCGGCGGCGAGTCCATGTTCATCGACGTCTGCATGTGATTGCTGCGACGGCCGAGGGTGCCCTGATGCACCTGCATCTCTAAACCACCTTTCCCGAAATCCTGCATAGTTTGATCTATTAAATACGTGCTAGCTGCGGTTTTGCGTCCCTCGTCCTATCATGCAACAGAGTGAACGACGATCGTTAATTCGTGACTTGCGTCTCGACGTTCGCTTGTTTGTGCACTCGCAAACAGGATCGCCGTGAAACGAGTCTCGGTAACGTCGACGACGACGGCAAGTTCCCGACGAATCCCAATACCACGATCGATACCAACATCGAATCTACCTTCCGTTCCAATCAATTCATCGCGATTTTATTTTATGTAAGTGAAAAAATACTTTTCATACAATTTCCGCTCGTTTCCCTTCCTTTTTTTTTTGGTTTCACGTCGCTCTTCGTAAAGTAACATATCGATGTAAGCGTCGACGTCTTCTCACACCATAGATCTTATCGCCAATGAAAGTATGAGTAATGGAGTGAAGCGTGTTAATAATGCAAGATGCTTTGCGATATTACCAGCCGTCATTTCGTTACTCCGATATTACTCTTACGTCCATTGTAACGCGAAAGCTAACACTACTGCGAGAGAGTATTCACGGTGAATACGAAAGCCTCGGAGACTTCTTCGTCCCGTTAAGAGAATTGATTGCAATGTGAAATCTTGGGAGAATCAAGATTTTGCGAGTGTCGGACAGCTTTCGTCGTTTAACGCTACTTTGCGCGCCCGAGAGACACGTGCGTTTGATTTACCTGAGGGTGTTACCTTTAGGTAGAATTCTCTGTGCTCGGATGACGTATGGTCATTATGAGGTAATGACATGAATATGTGACTGTATATCATGAACAAATCCGGGCTTTGTAACTCAAAAAGAAACCGCGAGACTGCGAGAAAAGCACGAAATCGCGTCGACACTGCTCTCGCAGAAAGTAAAGAGAAAATCTCTCGGCTTAAAGTAATCAAAAGTCACGCTTACTGACGAAAGATTTCACTGACTGTAAGCAAACAACAATTCTCGCGTATCTCTCGAATAGTTAGTACGTAGAAGTGCATCACGTGCGCTTAACATATACGTCGTTAATTATTTTTCCGCGTGCAGTCGGTTAGAGGATACGTGAAAGTCAGCGGAGTGGAAAGAAGTGCAAGTATCGTTAATACGAGCAGAGAGTTATATCAACCCGCACCACGTTATATCAGGATAGATAAATCGTACCGCGGCTTTGAGAAGAATCGCGAGAGGGAGAGAAAAAGGAGCCAGCGAGAGATCAGCAAAAAACGCGAAGGTCGGAGAACAGAAAAAGTGTTGCTAGAACTCAAACCTACCCTCCGGAATTACTTGTTACTAAGAACATACTGACTGATGGCACTGACCACGTAATCGTTAGCGTCGAAGTTAACGTCGCTCTTCTCGTCCGACATCGAACTTAATTCACCGGTCATGGTGTCGCCGTTGACGGTGGACGGTGCGTACATGTCCGCAGTCTGCGACTTATTAATGCCTGTGCCAAAGTGAAGAAAATGCGTGGTGAACGTGTGAATGGCGTGTGATGGCGTGAACGAGCGACTACGGCCGCGCGGGGGACAATTCGATTATCGATTCGATTCCTTTTCTTCGTGTAACAGTTGTTACGCATAACAACAACAACATGTGTGCTTTTCATTTGCGTGCACGATGCATACGAAGAATGAAAATTTCAGATAATTGGTCCGTAGAGTGCCGGATTTTCACTGCCGATATTAAAGTGCTCATAAGTTTATTATTTACCGATATATGTACTTTCCTGTAACTTTCTTTCTAAGTAATAAATGTTAATTTTGAGTGAAATTAAGACAAATATACATACAATATTACTAACACGGAGATGTATATTTATTTTCTACTATTCTTATTAATGTGTGTGTTTTATTTATACGTCAGTTGAGCTAATAAAGGTGCGCACATAATGGAAAATGATACATAAATATTTAAATATGTATGCATGACACGTGCAATATTGCATAATACTGCTGTAAATGGAAAATTTACTATTTCCTGTATTTTCAAAACAAAATGGTCAATAATTTTGAAATATATCTATGTCTCTATATTAGTGTCACAACAGTTTTTCATTAAAATCTTAAATGTAATTTAGAAGAAATAAAAAATAGAAGTTAAAAATAAAAAATTGTTTAACAGACCAACTACCTTAATAGTTATACAAGTAACCATCTTTTCCTAAAGTAATTCTCACACGGAAAGAAAAGTTTCATTGAATTAACGCGACAAACGAAACGTGTTTCGGACAAAGGAGACCGAATTTTTAGTTCCAAATTCGGTGAGAACCAGAAGTTCCACATTCCTCAACCAAAACGTTCGATACGTTCATCGCTACGTTAATTCAACCGATCTTTCTTCCCCGCGTATATAAGATACGGTTTGACTTTAATATCCTCAAAACATCCTAGGAGATGTGGCCGTCTCTGCGGCTGACCTGGTGTTAGTCGATGCAACGGGAGACACACCCTCTTATCCTCTCATCGATATTGTAAGACGCCGCGCTGCCAAAGTTTCGATACTGGGTCGGCAACTCATCTTACCGCGCGCGCGCGCGGCCGTAGTCAAACGCTGAAGTGAACAGCGCGCGATGATCCTCTATAGTTCGGAGTGCGTGATCGCGCTAAAGTAATCTAGGTCGGTGAACTTACGAGCTTTATTTCGCTTTCGTACTATGTACCACAACATGATGAAGACATTAACGATAAAAAAGATGACGGAAGTCGCTGCGAACGTATAGACATAATTCATCGGAAAGTCGCCCTTTTCCAATAGGACGTCCTGCAGGTTTTCCTCTTTATTCGGCCCTAGGGAAATAAAGGAGAGAAAGGACACATGATAATATCATATTTACCAGCACGCTGGGCCTTCTTTCTCGACTTTATTGTAGCAAAGACTATGGGCGCGGCAATGAGTAGGCAAGCAGAGGCGGAAACAGTGATGATAATGACGATGATGTAGGAGGAACTATTCTCGCTTGATGTCAACTCGGTTGGTGGCGCCTCGCCTGTAACCCAAGCCAATGCCCCATCACCGGTTTGTTATTCATGCAACGAGTCCGTCTACATTGTTAGTCATGTTCGACAGCCTGCGTACAAAACGTACTTTCGCGAGTAGCTACCACGATCTACGCGAAGCGGATAGAGGGAGGGAGTCAAGAGCGGCCGCGCAGCTTACTCGTTCTCATCTTGTCTGTTCTATCAGCGGCCGATCCTTTTTCCTCTTCCGCTTAGCGTGAGAACAAATGTCGCCCGCCCGGACGACAATTTGTGCGTTTACGTCGGTTGATATTCGCAAGCCTGTTGTTACTTCGCCGTCGATCGCTTCGCGACGGCCGCTTGATAACGAAACAATTTCGAAGCCAAGCGTCGTGTATATTATGCAGGGGATAAATTTATCAATAGATATATCGATCGAACGACTCGTGCTGAAATGGGATCGCGCGAACGACTTGGAAAATACATTTACATCTACGTAATGTACACTTGTTGTAACTAACTAACCCACGATGTAAATGCCATGCGAACATTCATGAGACACACTAAACGTACATAATGTAATACACGATGAACCTGATTACTGAGTATGATTAATTATGTGGATGCGGGCAGTCGCGTTTAATTATGTTCGATGATCTGCATAATGATTTAGCAAGCCGTTATTTTCCACCATGTAGCGTGAATAATGATCTACTATTTAATGTAAATAATTCGCTCGTGAGGGGGGAAAAGTTATCGAACGACTGTAATTTCGGCGGGATTTAAGGTAATTTCTATAATTTTGCCGCGAGCACGCAGCGGCCGCCGTTTTCTTCGTTTGATATGCCTCACGCCACACCGAAATTACAGCGCATCAACTAGTCAGCACTATTTATATGGATAATATTCATTCACGCTAATCCCATGAATATCGCTATGCTATGAGGTTAGCGTTACTTTTTGCTCTCTTCTACAGAGGGGTTCTACGAATTTTCCTTTTCTAGTGGAAAAAGCGCGGGCAGGGGTACGTATGTGTGTGTGTGTGTCTACGGTGTTTATTATTTTGACTTACGAAGCGTCTGGACTTTGAGGAGGTCCGGCAAGAAGCCGCTGTCCCCCTTCTCGTTGATGGCTTTCACGCTAAATACGTAATAAGTCCCGAGGGACAGGCCGGATATCGTGGCCTTATAGTCGCCGGGCGAGATGTCGAGGTAATGGTAGCGGTCCTCGTAATCCAGCGCCTGTCTCCAACGTATTTGATGGGACGTCGGCAGGCCGCCGTCGAAGCCGCGCTTCCAAATCACCGTGACCGAGTCATGGGTGACGTTGTAGACCTCCAGGTCGCTCGGCTTGTCCGGCGGCGACGTCACGTCCAGGTGTATGTCGTCCGTGGAGTATCCCATTTTGTTCTGGGCGCGGCACTGATACTTCCCGTAGTCCTGTGACCTCACGTGGTAAATGGTCAGCGTTGTCTCCGAGTAGAGCTCGGACAGCTGAGGGGGCACAAAAACACGATGATATTCCGTGATAACGTTGAAATCACGTGTGAATCTCAAATTCTCGATAAAATGATCGAATGATAAAATGATCATTTGATGATATATTTTTTTTTCTGTTCGATATTCTTCCAAACATTTAGCGAAATCACTTCTAATCAGACGAGTAAAATCGTCACGCGCAAATGAAGGACTCGGCGGAAACTCACCCAGACATGCTCAACGTGCTCAAAATGCAATCGTCATCTCCTGATAATGAGAGCTTGCTCAAAATTTTGTGCAGGTTATTTCATGTATTTGTCGAATGAGACGGACTTTTCAATGAATTCTTCGCGCGCGTCCTCTCCTTTCCCTCCTTTTGAGAAATCAAACGTCGAGACGGTAATTTAATCTCCGACGGTAAATAATCCCACTCGCTACGCGAGACAGCGATTCCGCCGAGGTGGAAGGGCTCGCGATTGAAGTGAAATGTAGAATAAGATCGACAATACGCGCGGCTAAAGGTCTCAGGTCAAACGGCGCTCTAAAGGGGATACACCGTCGGCCGGGGAACTCGTTATTTAAGAGATAAGTACTCCTTATAAAGTGACTTACATCGCTGTGAGTGATACTGTATTTATTCTCGGTTGCGTTCGGCAATAAAGTTTTCCCATTGAAGATCCAAGTGAAATGTGGCAATGGAGATCCCCGCGCTTTGCAGAACAATTGGACGTTTATTCCTTTGTTCGCAGCCGCCTTTCGCGTCAATGGGGTGTTCGTCATTTCCGGTTTAACTGCGCATAAAAGTACCAGTAAATCCTTTATTACGCGCTTTTCCGATACGCGTTCGCGTGTCGTGCATACGAATGCGTCTTGTGGTACTTCGTGACATTTCGCGCGTACACGGTTTACATGTTCCGTAATAATATTCACGCAGGCTTTTTATTTCTCTCTCTTCCCCCCCTTCATTCTCTCTCTCTCTCTCTCTCTCTCTCTCTTCCTCGACGCACGCACGGTTGAGCGGCGAGAATACATGGCCATAATTAAGCAAGAAGGATTTAACATACATGGAGTACATTCCGAGGGAAATGAAGATGATACATGATTTAAAAAGTATAAATAGCATTGAGGTCCTTCAAAGAGTTGTTCAAAAAGTCAATCAAAAGTTCATCTTCTTTAAAGGTGTCCATTGATAAGCTTAAGAAAGGACCTTCTGGTCTAAGCGATTAAAAAATGACTGTTTTATTCGAATTTATTTTCAAAAAAGGGAAAGAGATATCGTCGTTATACTGTTTTCCTTTGGACTTTTAGCGTTTTAGTATAAGTGATAAAAAAAATAAAAATATTCAAGCTTCAAACTTCAATTAAAAGGCATCCTGATAGTTCTAGATTTCAATGGTTCTATAATCGGAGCTGAACTGTGGGAAAAATAACGGCCCAACCGTTGCATTGAAATGAATAAACAAATATTTTTCACTTGTATCATATTTACAAGGTACTGAACTTTTAAAAATGGAAAAATAGCAAAATTTCGCAAAATAGCGGCACTTTAAAGAGAAAACATCATATTTTTCCCTTTTATTTCAACTTTGTTGATCTATTGTGGCAAAATCTCAAAAATCATAATTTCGTGAGTTGAATCCTCCTTGCATTACCATGGCTATTTTTTCAATGATTATTACACCGGCGATATGGCCCCTAGATATTATTGCGTGCTCGATAATTAATCGTCGAGCAATTATTGTCGCGCGTAATAGTAACAGCGATATCACTTAATTATTAACACCGGTAATTGATCGGCAGGTTCCGCCAACTTGCTGGCATTTGTTGCCGACTACAATAGCCGGCCGGTATTATTTATCGCGAGCACTCGATACGGTTCCGTACTTTTTATGTACATCAGAGGTTCGTTACGTTCTATAAAAGCATCGTTCTCGTTCCTCCGTCTCCCCCCCCCCCCTGCCCCCAAACCCTTTTTTCCGAAAACACGGTAGACTGTGCTGTGCTGTAACAATACGGCGGATTACGCCGTCGTTAAACCGGATGTATGACGATTAAATTTCCGGACGATACACGCGGCGCTATTAAATTATCGGCTGATACGCGATAATTAAATCCCGCCGGTTCCGATCGTACGTTCGAACGTACTTCTCCCTCGAGTACCGCCACTGATTACGGCGCAGCCGAGCGATCGAAATAATACAGATTCGTACGTACAGTTCGTGATGAAGAGAATGGGGTCCGACGTGACGTTGCCGATGCCGTTGTTGACCTTGCACCGATACTCGCCGACGTCCTCTTGGCTGGGTTGCTCTATGTGGAGGTACGACGTGCGATTGACGAAGGACGTCGAGTAACGCCCCGGTAGCTCCGGGTTCGATCCCACTTTTTGCCAGGTTACATACTCATCGCCGATCGGGCTGCCGTCGACCTCGCAGAACAGCTTCGCCTCGGCGCCGGGCGGATAAACTATCCCCGAGGAAGAGGTGCGCTTGATCTTGGCCGGATCTGTGGGGATCATCGGGAACGAAACGATAAGTTCGGATTCGCGCGCCGGAAATAACAATTTCTCCTCGGAAGCCTCGAGAGAGAGAGAGAGAAGGGAATGAAACGCGATTTTTCGCCTCGAATAATTGTTAGGATATCGGAGAAAGAACGCGAGTAATTAAAAAAGAAAATTGGACCGAGGAAGACCGAGCACAAAGAAAAGATAATGGAAAGGAAAAGAAAACTAAAGGGAAGGAGAAAGATAAGAGAAAGAAAAACTCAATAGAGAAGTTAAGAGAACGCGAGTAATTATTAATATAGAAAATTCGGCAGAGAGAACAATTATATTGTACGAAGGAATATGGAGGAGGAGGGGGAGTGGAAGCGTTGTGGAAGATAATTATAAAATCGGACGTTAACTTCGGGGCTGATCGATCATTTTGCGAAGTATCAAACCGAAACTTCGGGACCTGCCGAAACTTCGTTTAACGAGATCCCGAGGTTGATCGAGGGTGATGCAATTTTATCGCGATTACGCGCCGTTCTCGGCGTCAGTGTGACGGCGTGTTACTTACACTGCACCGTCAAATTCAGCTGATAAAAAGTGGTGCCTTCCTTGTTTAGCGCTTCGCATATGTACGTGCCGGCGTCGTGACGATCTAATCTGGTGATATTCAGCGTGGAGCCATGCGCGGTTATTCTCTTGCCGCTGCTGCCGAGCGGCAAACCGTCCCTCGTCCACGTGTACTCCGTCGTGTTAGGATTGCCCCTTGCCGATACGGAAATCACAAAAGGCTCGCCCTCCAAGCCGGTGAGCTCGTAAGGATCTAACGGCGAGAATATCGGCTTGTCTGCGACAACAAGAATGAGATGAGTTCATGACGCGTCGTGATTTTGCGCGTTAATTTGCTTACGCTCAAAAATATAATTGTCGTGCGTCAGAAATCGAACAGAACTTCGATGCGGATTTCGAATGGATGTAAACGCCAGGCAACCAAGTACTTTCGGAATTTAATCAAGGGAAACGAAAACACTGAGGGCCGGTGGGAACCAGTACGCGAAAATTAGTATGTGAATTAACTAAATAATGTAACAATTAATTAAAATAATAATTAAACTCGAGCGAGTAAATACTATGCTGAGAACAAAATATTTAAAAACGAAAAATATTTTATAGATAATAATATATTTATTTTAATATACATATTTTTACATTGAGAAAAGTTTTTACAATGAAAAAATAGTTTTCATTTTTTCGAATGAAAAAGTATACATTTTCTCCAATCTATAGCTTTTTGTGAAAACAATCGTTTATTTTATTTAAATAAAGAATTTAGATTTGAGTAAATATGTTGTTAGTACCGTAGAATAAATACTTTTCACCTTTTAGATACACAGTAAAAAATTTCATGTTAAAAACGGTCCACTAAGATTTTGTGTTAACATAAATCCCTCTTTAATTCGAAAAATATCAAAATATTAAAGATTTTTTCCGCGATGCTGATCGGCTATTTCAAAATCTCGATCTCGATGCGAGTCGTTGCTTACTTCAACTCACAACTATCATCGTACATACTACACATTTTGACAGTAACAGAGATATTATTTTCTCACCAACGAATTTTAGACTGGTGCTACAACAAGGTGCTCATTTAATTACACGAACTGAGATTATTTTTCGTGTAATAGTAATAATTAGCCAAATAGCGCGCATGTCTGTGTTGGTCCAGTGTGTTAAAAAGTGCATAAATATATAATGTTAAATTAACAGATTTACCTCGTCAGCATATGTTGACATTATATTTGCATACATTTTAACACATTCCCTATGTTATAAAGTAACATAAAATTTCAGTAGACTGTTTTTAATATAAAACTCATTACCGTGTATTTCTTCTCTTAGTGCAGCCGTAAGGTTGCATCGTTCTATCCCTATGATTGGATCTTTCTAAATGGCCAATAAATTAAATTAAAAAAATCCCCTCGGGATTGCTTGCCGAGTAAGTCTCTATCGCGATTTTGTTCCTTCGAGCATAATCGTGCAGTAATTACACAGAGCTCCGTATATTGGAATTATCTGGATGATGAAACCGATATAACTGAGAAAGGGATGTAATAACGTTACAAGTGTAACGATTAAAATAATCTAAGATGTCGGATCGCGTCGTATTTTATTTCCCAGGCAGCACATTGATCCTCCCATGGTGATCGGTAAATTTCCTGCCGCTCTCACAGTCGTTATCGCGCGTCGTAACACATAAAATACACTTTTACACGACGGAATTTCTACGAATACACGTAAGCTCGCTGATACCGGGAGGGATCGGCTCTAAGTAGCGCGCGCGACATTTTCCGGGTTGAACGATCTCTCTTTCTCGCACGTGCGTGCGTGCGTGCCAATCTACGTCGATATAGAGATTATGTCATTAAAGCGATATACTCAGGCGTATACTTACAGAGCACGTCTAGAGTGGTAGCGTCGTGGATGGATCTCCCCAATTCTGTATTCTTGGCCTCGCAGGTGTACACCTCGCCGTTCATTTCCTCGGTTAAGTCCAACGCGAGCTCGACAAACGAGACGAAGCCGCCGTATAATCCGTTCTTGGTGCCGTTCCTGGTGCCGGGTACCGGTATTCCGTTCTTCCACCACGACATCTCGGCGGCGGGATTACTGCTGCTCGATTCGCAGATTATACGTCCCTCCTGGCCGGCGTGGAAGTCCTGGGGCTCGCGGTTAATCTTCACCCTTTCGGGCGGGACTGCGCGACAGTTCGCCGTTAATATCGAGATTCGACCACGGCTGGATAAAAGGCCGTAGTAATTGCGATCATTTCTGCGCGCGCTGCGAACTCCAGTTTTCTCTCTTTTCCCCTCGCGGGCGCGATTAACATAAACGTATTAAGAACGTAAAGTACGATGATAGGAGTTTGATATACGAATCGATGTAATAATGAATATATCGATCGAAATATGTTTTTTTAAGGGGAGAATCAGTACATCGCGTAAGACTATGGTCTTCGACGCGTTGAAGTTGAAGAATTTTCGGATTGTCTTTTCGGAAGAGTAACTCTTTACGTTAGCGTTCGATATTCGTAGAACGTTGGATATACTTAATAATTTCTCGATGCAACTTTACTCGCTGCATGATGTGGATTGTTTCAAGACAGTTTGAACACTTTTTCTCGATATACTTCGGAATGAAAACGATGGTCTAATGAGAGATCTCGTTTTCGAAAAATAAGTTACCCGATCGGCTTCTGAGATGCACAAGGAACGAGATGTTTAAACTGTTTTCAAACGCACTTCTACTTTTCGCTTTACGTTAATACGAAATATACTTGAAAGAAGCGAGTACGCGCTTCTCATGTCGCTCCAATTATTTTAATTAAAATTATGTAAATATTAAAGTTGCGCCAAGACGATATTCCGTATACTCGCGAAAAATGTAGAGCAACCCGGCCTGCGGAAATGATCATGTAACGACATACATCGACTACGACTTTATCTGTGAGAAGGAAATCGTGCGACTCGTATTATATCTTACAGTTGACTTTTAACACGTGAACTTTGAGCAGAGGGATCTCGGTGGCTGAATTCGTCGCCTCGCATCGCACATGGGCGTTGTTGTCGGAGGCGTTGACGAGTATCTGCAGGTCACTGGAGACGGCGTGACTTCGCGTCCTCACTGTGCCCTGGACCTGCGATATAAAAGGATATTATTACGATGAGATTGGTGAATTTCGAGTATCCGCAGGGACGCGAATCGAGTAAATATTATATAAATATATCTAAGTGAGTCGACTGATAAAATACTAATAAATAACGAATAAATTAATAATAATAATAATATTATTATTATTTATTTATTTGTAATAATTATTTGCTTACTTATTTATAATAATAATATTTTATTAGTTAATTAATCATATTATTATTATTATCTCTAATAATTAATATCAGGTCAGTCAAAAATATGATTCGATTTTAAATGTCATCATTTACACAGACAACAATGTTAACGTGATAACATTTTGCTGACAGAAAGTCACAGACAACGATGAGAATAATTTCGGGCATGGAAGCGGTTTAGCTGTTAACAATAGTGAGAAAAGTAAGTTTTTTTCTTAAAAGTGAGAAAAAATTAGATATTTCTAATTGAGTGAGGAAAAATAAATCGTTGTCACGCCTGTAATTTGGTCGATGGATCATTTGTCGTCCTTGAATGAAACAGGGTCAAATTCGCCTCAAAAGTCGAACCGAACTTTTGGATTTATTCATTGAAGTTTCCGGAAAACACGAATATTCACGATTAGCTAAGATTCACGAACAGCCGTGCGGTGAACCGGGATCTGCGACAATCGGTTTTACGGTTTTACGTACCTTGCGATCGTTTTTGTACCACGTTAACGTAGCCAGTGGATTACCCGCCGTGGCGACGCACGAGAGCCTCAGCACCGTCCCAGCAGATATCGTCGTGCCCTCCTCGTATCCGGTGACGGTTATTTTCGAAGGTGGATCTGCGAGATCAGACACACGTCCATCAGAATCGAGATTTCTATCTCGCTCTCTTCGGACATTTCAAACTTTCGTGTTTTTTTTGCACGTTTCCCCGCGTTTCGAACAATATTTCGGTCAAACGTAGAAGTGTAGAAAAAGTAACCGGGCGAAAATGTATACAACAATAAAAAAATGTTCAAAACGCGTGTAAAAATATAGAAAAAAAACGAGAAATACCAAGTATTTTTTTCCACGACGCTTATCACGTCTGGGTGTTGCACTCTCTCTCTCTCTCTCTCTCGTCCGTCTCAGCTTTCTTTATTAGCCCCTCGCCGGATTGGCATTCAATAAGGGGTCGATAAATAAATTTCAGAAGCTTTATCGAATCCAGCTGTATCGCCGACGCGAGCGGCATTCATTATGACCTCGGATTGTGAGCGGTATTATTAATTAGAGGCTAACTAATTGTTTAGTACATTCGGATAGCGAGTAATTTTAATGTATGTAATTACAAGCTGCAAAACACAGTTGATTATTCAGGGATTATTTATTTATGACGGAAATTAATGTGTCGGTCGATTACGAATGTGTTCCGCGAGAGAATGTTTCACGCGGCGCGACGTAACGTCGAACATGTTAAATGAATTCTGACCATCTGACTGGCCTCTTTCTCTGTCTCGCAAGGGAGACGGATACAGAGAGGGAGCGCGAGAACGTTCACGCGTGCGTGTACGCCTGGGAGCGCGAGTAATGCGCGGCGGCGCGGTCGATTAATTTGTCATCGCGTGCCGAAGATGTCAACGACAACGGTTGGCATTATCGTTACCCAATTTCCCCTAACGCGTCACAAATTGGTCGCCGACCCGAAGAAGCGGGTAGGATATATCCGTAATTTCCACGGCGCGCTGTAAACGCCGAGTATCCCCGCGTGCTTTACGACACGCTCCACTCCTCGGGGTGCCCGTTATTTTTTATCGTGCGACGCGCGTTAGGCGGCCTCGCCTCGATACGTACGCGCCGTGATTGTGCATAAATCGCGACATGGACGAACGAGGAAGTTGCAGGAAATATCTACTTTGTGTAATAATACTACTGCTCTCGAAGTAAAGAGAGATCGACGTGAGGACGGGATAAGAAGAGGGGCGGGACGGTGTGTTCTGCGTTTACGTTTTAATCAAATCACACGTTTCGCGTGCAAGAATGTAAAGAACGAGAGAGAGAGAGAGAGAGAGAGAGAGAGAGAGAGAGAGAGAGAGAGGAAGCTCTCCGGCTTTCACGGAGAGGGTATTCCTCGGTCGCGAAGGGTCGTTCCTGCAAATGAAGCTGCCGGGACACGGAGAACAGACACGGCAACAAACTCCTTACGGAAAAAAATAAACGTCGATTTAAGACTTCTAATATTCTGATCGATATGATCATTGTTTCATATATAAGTAAGAATATATAATCTTGTTATAAAAATTTAATAATCTTGAATTTCCACAATATTGTAATTTGATTGCAATATTACGATAATTCACTGCAGAATACGATATTCTGAAAATAATAAATCTTGTTAGGACATTTTAAAAAATCATATAAAAAGTGAATGTTATTTTGAATAATTCTATATTTGAATCAAACGTACGTTAATCTTTTTTCAACAATATGAACGTTTTCACTTCACAATATAAATCAGGTCTTATACTTGAAATCGTCTTGGTTAGGTTCACCCTCAGATGCTTTGCAGTCAACGAAGTGACCCGTACAATATCTAAAGATAAACTTAAGATGATCTTAAATATAAGACCTAGCTACTATATAAATCGGAGAGAAAATCTGGAAGCCGAAGTTATTGGACCAGGACTCGAAACCTGGGACCTTCCGGACGCCTGCTCTTAACACTGAGCTGCCTAGGCTTCTACTTCAATATACTCTCTCTTTCGTCCTCTTATGTGATATTGTTGCCTCAATTTCGAAATAAAGTAAAGAAATTGTTATAATAAGAACCTCCAATAATTCAATTTAATAATATAAATTGCTTTTTCCAAGAGTAAGATATATTCAAATAAAAATAATATAATTTCAAGTTTTCTTGAAGATATCATTTCTAACATTCTTTACTCTCAATTGAAGAAAATTATTCTTGAATAACGAGAACATGATATTTTTAGCGGAGCCGAATATATAATTTCTTCATGTGAGCAAATTTTATCTGTTCAGCGCTATATAATCTCATTTCACCATAATACTCATAACCATGATCGCTAGTAACTGCTTTAAAGTGCTTTAAAGAGTGAAGGGGCGATTTATCTAACGAAGAAGCGTGCTAAGAAATCTAATACAGACAGTCAACTATCGGAGAGTCATTCTCTGTCGTATCCGCGGGATAAGTCCAGAACACCCGGTACGGTTCTTTTACGCGGGGTTGAAATTAGATTTTCGCCGTGGGCAAAAGAGAGTCTCGTTACACGCGGCTATGTACGGCGCCGAGTGAGTGGCACTCTCTCTCGCGCGAAATTGTACGACACTGAAGGAACTGCTCACATATCACGTTGATGGTGTGCGTGCCGACCACGTTCTCCGTGAGCTTCGCGTTGGAAGCGTGGCAGATGACGACGATACTGCGGCTCCTGCGATTAATGCCGAACGTCACGTTCGAGCTGGTGATCCAGCCGCCGTTCGGCGCCGGCTCCGTCTTCGAGGCGTTGCTCTCGAAATTATGCCCGTCCACCGTCCACTTGATGTCCGCTGGCGGATTCGAGTTCTCCGTCGTGCAAGTGATGAGCACCTGGTCGTCCGCCTTGGCCTCCGTCGGTCCGGTGATGGTCACTCCGGCGGGCGCGACTGTATCATATGAGAGAAGGTTATTTCGCGGCGAAACGTTTAATCGTCGTCTGGATATTTCACTCTCTTCCGGCAACTCGTGGGAGAATGATCGTTTCTCTTCGTGCGCATAGGGAAGAGGAATTCTTTCCTTTGTCTGCTCCATTCCAAAGGACAAATTTGTTTCAGTTAAAAAAATGTTATTAAATCCAAAGAAATCTCTGTGTGTTTCTTCTTATTTGCGACTTGCGATCGAACCGAAAAGAGAAATCGGTCGCCATTTGCGCCAGTTTTTCCATCTCAAGTAGATGTTGGCTTAGAATTTGGAGTGTGTCGAGGAGCTACGAACGTTCAAATGATTCGGCTGCTAAAAATGGAGCGTGCACGAAAGATAGGGAAGGACTAACATGCGGCCATCGAACGTGCAGTTTTACACTTGACATGTCCGTTGAAATTACTTGAGAACGGAGGTGTAGAAAACTAATGTCACCGGGCGTCGTAAACTCTTCGAAGTAGGTCGTAAAATGTATGCGGAATAAATGTTTATTGACGGGCCGTCAATAAACGCGGACTTTCTCGCGATATAAGCCAGCTGCGGGCATTTTGCGGCTCTATCCGTATATCACGCGGGCATAAAGTTAGCAAAATTCCAATTTGGGTAAACGCGCGCGGTATAGCCCCGGTGAGAAAATAGGGAAGCGGAATTATTTATGCGGCTGTTCCGTCGGCGAGAAGATCGTGCAATAGTATGCCTCGCGGTAAAATAATGGTAAGTGCCACGGACAGGTTCCAGTCGGCATTAATTTTCCACCGCCTTAAGTACATTTCAAGTATCACCTGCGGAAAATACGCGTTTCCCAGCGCCCCGGGAGAACATTTAAATAAGTGAAATCCCCGAGCCGGGCGAAATTCACGTTCCTTCTATTATTTCTCCGCGACCTTCGTCTCGCCGGGGATCGATCCGGGATCGACTCTTCGTTCGTTCGGGTTCGTTAAGTAGGGCGATTAATGACGTGCGTAATCACACCGTACGTAGGCGCGCGCGACGCTTAAAATTCAAGTACAGTTTGATCCGGCATTAATGCATACGGGAGAGACAATAATAACATATAATTACGGGGGAAGAGGATAGTATACACAGGAGGAAGACACGCGCGTGGAGAGTTTCTCGAAATGCAATTTGCAGCGTTTTACAGCGACGCTACCTCACCGCGAGGCAACGCGCAATTATCGCACACACTTACAAAGTACAGTGAGATCGACGTGCACTTTCATGGGCTGCACGCTCATGATGTTGGAGACCTCGCATCTGTAGCGCGCCTTCTCGTCCTGTGCCCTGGCCGTGAACGAGAGCACGTTCTCGGACGCGCCGCCCTCCGTGCGATAGCTGCGCGAGATCTGCTCGTCGTTCCTGAACCAGATTATTTGCGCCGGCGGATTTCCACCGCGTGATCGGCAGGCCAGCTCTACGTTCTGACCGCGCTGCACGGTCTCGCCCTCGGTGTAGCCCTCTATGTACGGCGCACCGGGTGGATCTGCGGGACGAGCGCGCTGATCAAGAGGCGGCCTAATTCGCCGCGTAACGATTAACTCGCGTTACGGTTTCCGCTGTCGCGCGTAATTTCGTTACGATAGTTGTGACAAGACTCGGCTAATCGCACCGACGAGACGCGAAACGTCGTTCCCACGGAAGTATACACGGAAAAATACCGTTCTACCGCTGAGAAAACTCGGTGCTTGCTTTCCTTCTTTTCTTCTTCCTCTAGTGAGTTACATTCTTCGACAAAGAATATCTTCTCTTCATATAATAGTATTAAAATATGCTCATCGCAAGGACAGCTCATTATTATGCGTCCGAGGAAAGAATTTACTCACTTTTCAGGAATATTGCGAAATAAACAAATGATAATAAGTCGGGCAAATAAGAGTGGATCGCTGGTTTTATGCGCGGAGAAAAATAATTTGCTGGCACAGTGAATGTTATACTGTCGCAGCAAAATCTGTCATTTGCTACGTGGACGGCAAAATGACTCGTTAAGAGTGCTAATTACCATTCGTTGGATTATTTTGCTGAATAGACACGTAGGAAAACACTATTTCATTCTAACAAAGATTAAGAACAAACTCACTCAGTAGGATATTTTCTATCCCGGTAATAAAACTGTTTCTGCTCTAGTTACGAATAATTCACTCATTTTATCACGCTAACTAAATGTCATCGCTGTCGCAACACATATGTTCGTTACAAGAAATTATTTTTCTCCATACATACATATAAGAAATACATAAATATACGTTCCGCTCCCAGTTTGGACCATTTTCAACAAAAATATAGAAATGAAAAATGTCACATTATTTTAGAAAACCTACGTTAAATTAAATAGTGATGTATCAATGATTTCGTTCGTCAATTTAATAAAATTCTGGTCAGATTAAATACTTACTTTACACAAGTTAAAGACCATGCATACACTGAGAAGAAAAAGTGGTAGAATCAGCGAAATTTTTGCTTAAATGAATACAATTTTTCAAGCGCGATGTTTAGTCTATTGAATAAATTATAGAGTTGTAATGAATTATCAATTGATCCAACGATTGCAATTTGGCCAGCAACTATATCAACGTAACGTATTGTCACTCCAACGCGTCATTTATTCAAGCTGGACATGATATTTTTTTGAGTGACCGCCAATTTTTTCGAACCAAATGCTTTTTTCCTCGGTGTAGCGATCCGAAACGAGTGACAATCGAACTAGGCATGGTTTAAAAATCTGCCAACGCATAGTCGGTTACAGGACGGTTGCAGCAGTTTTTTTACATGTTTCGGAACACGCAAAATATACAACGAAGCAAACCTATGATTCATAAACATGCGCAGTAGATAGATAGATAAATAGTCAGACACCTGTCAAAATTACATATGAATACGTCAAAATTACATGTATATATCCGGACGTGCCCGTATATGTAAATTACATATATATACATATAAATCACATATGTATATGTAATTTTTTTGTAGAGTTGTCTAACAATCTACCGCGCATGTTCGTCAATCAGAGGCTCACTTCATCGTAACTTTTGTATATTCCGATATATGTAAAAAAAATTGTTGCAACCGTCCTGTGACTGACTGTATAATGTACAATATGACAATATATAGACGAAAAAACTGTAAATGAAGCAGAACGTAGAATGATAAAAGCTACGAAAATACTAACCATATCGATGTTCTAACTAACATTTCACCACAGACGTTTATATTTCTTATATACAGTGTAAGCTATGTAAAGTATTATAAGTTGTTACCAAATATTTCATATCTATAGTGAAAAGTATAATCAGTATAAATAATCAGTATAAATTGTAAAATATCTGAGAAAGTACTCGTTTATTCGATGATTTTATCCTAATACTTTTATATATAAAATTACTAAGAGAATCAATATATATTAGAAAAATCATATAATTCCGTTTAAAAAATTCACGGTGACCTTGATACGGTCTTGGTACGACCATGTGTCCAGTAAATTTATCAGAATATATATTTCGAATAAATGCGATGCTTATAATGAACTTATAATGAACTTGTGATGTATTAGCGGATGTATAAACTTATGAGATATTCAAAAGAAGTAAAACACATTAATTTACACGCGTTTTCCTGTGTGTAGAAGACGCCTTCGTTCGCGAATCGGGCTAATTCCCGCGGCTTCTGGGCGTAATCAAGCCGTCGAAAGAAAAAAGAGAACCTTGTCGAGATCGTTCACACGAAGTTCGCCGGCGCGAATGGATGAAATATCGCGCGAAACGACTCCTTCTCTTTTCGATCGCGTTGCTCGACGCGAGTCGAATAATGGGCCCGAATTAGGGATTAATGTCGAGTCTCTCGTCGAGTCTTTCGGTAAACACGTCCGTACCGTAATTTTGTATAGCGACTACTCCGTTTTCTTTCCTCGTAGACGTATCGGGTGCGCCGACACGCCACGACGTAAACGATCACGCGAGCGGTACACGTCCGGTCGTACTTACAGAAAACGGAGAGTTTAATGGTGGCCCGCATGGGCCTGTCTATGGGTATCGCCGGGTGGTTGGCCTCGCAGGTGTAATCCATCTCATTATCGTCCGCCGTGGGCACGATGGTAATGGAACCGTGAGTGTCGTACTTGAGCAGCTCCTTGGACTTCTCCCCGGGCTTCGACGTCTCCTTGTCTGCAACATTGCGCGCACGCGCGATAAATACTGGCCATCAGTCCGCTTTTACTTTATAGCGGCCACTCTCGTTCGATTATTATACTTGTCGTTCGCTTTTCCGTGTCACCCGATAATTCCCGCGGCGAAAGAGCGCACCCGGTGTCGCGTAAACTGCCGCCCGCGATTAAAAACGTCGAGGGAAAGTCGCGAAAATTACGTCTGATCACGGCCGATCATCTTTGCGATTTGAGAGAATTTTAGTAAGTGTACTCGACGTTATAATAATAATGATCGACCGCTAAATCGAGAAGAAGCATATTTGCGACGAAATTTGATTAAATCAAGCCTGAGTGATAATAAATTAAATCGAAGTGAAGTATCGCTTCTCTTTCCTCAAAGGCATCGTCGCGAACGCCGGATTAAACGCGCCCGGGGATGATGGGCAGAAAGGGAAGCGAATGGCGCGATGATACGTAATTTACATTAGAGTCGAACGCGAGAAAGATACGCGCCTTTAAATCTCCGCTAAAAGCTCCGGACAAGCTTTTACGCGAAAGCGCGGCTCTTTATTCCGTCCACGCGGTGGCGGCAACGACGCGCACACACTTTTCGGAGACGCGCCGAGTACAAATGCTCTCGGCTATCAACGGTGACGTGGTTTGACTGGATGCGTAGTCGGGGAAAGATTGCTGCCAGCGTAACGAGGGGGATGCTCGCGACAAAAGAAACGACGATTTATTTTTGCGCAACCTGCGTGTTTCGCAACGTCGCCGACGTAAACGACGCATCCCCCGGACGAACGCGCAAAGGGTGGCTGGCTGTGTGTATGGGAGGGATGTGTACACAAACGGGAGGACTCCCGACTCGTAGTCCGTCGGAAAATGCAATTCCGGATGAAAAAGTTTCGGTATAGGTGGGCTCGTAACGACCCGTAACTTCCTTAAAGGGGGAGACCAGTCCGTAGAGGGCGATTTTCTTCTTAATTTTGAAGAATAGCGTGCGCTGTTCAGATTATTTTGCGGTCATTTGTCGAAATTCGACAAATTGACCAATGGCTGAAAGCGTAATTTTGCTCGATAAATATGAAATTTGTCAGTGGTCTCTTTGGTGCGCCACTGAAAATACGATACTGAGCCTTGCAATCTCTTTAAGGAAGTTTTTACCGTCGCGTCTATCACACACGCGCCAATAACAAAATGAGTTCGGAGTCCCTTTTGTCTCGGCGCGAATTGAAGATTCGTCACGCGAAGCGCACACGAAACATCTCGTAACTCGAAATAATGCGCTCGTTTCATCCTCCGCCGAGTAATCCGCTAAATAGAAAGCGAATTTAATTTAAATACTACGGGAATTCATCACGACGGCTGCTTATGTGTGTTTTCCAATAATGAATTCATGTACCGTAATAACCGCGGTGTTCGCGCAGGAACGCGCTTTTCATCCCGATGCGCGTGCGACGGTAATAACCGGGGATGTTCATAAAACACACCGCCAAATTTTCGCTGCGCATCGAGGAAGTCGGGTCGATCGAAAAAGTAGAGAAGTGTACACACTCATTGAAGCGCCGCCGAGACGATCAATTAAATGAGACATAATCACTTCTCGATTCATTTAATCTCTTTTCAAACGCGCTGTTTTCCCATCGCGCACACCAATTTCGACGATTCGTCGAATGCTGCGGTTTATTCTTTGGCAGTCTTGCATGAAAATAAATGTAAAGTTAACGATTAAAAAATTAAATATTTCAAAAAGATTTTCCATTCGTCAATTTACACGCTAATTAATCCTTTGCGGTACTACGTCGAGTTTATCTCGACGTCGTGTTTTACTTTGTTCGATTTTATAAAAGAGAGAAATAACTTTTCCGTATTCATTAATAATATATACCGGTTATATGGAAGATTTAAATCCGTTAATTAACTGAGCATGCTGGCTAATGAATTTTCGAATTTTCATTTCTTTCATATGTTGCATGTTTATAAATAAATGAAGCTTTTTGATCACACACGGAGAAAAATGTCTCTTTGTATAATTTCGTACACGTGTTTGACTTCGGTTTGTCTAATATAAATAACATAATTTAACGTTAAATATAATTTTGTTTAAATGAGAATGCTGTGGTTCCACCAGAGTGAACCATGTTGTTTGATAAAAAACAATATTATTTAGAAGAAATAACATAGTTTTGGTTTCTAATAAAAAATTTATTTTATTACATATTAAATATTGTTCTACCTAAGAAGTTCTTTAATATTTTTCTCTAACATAGTGTTCCTTAACATAGTATATTTTCAAATAATTTATTGCTCCTGGTAACTATTGTAATTGATGTATAGATGAAAACATAAAAAAAATTATTTGACCTAAAGATATTTATCGCTTGAGAAACCAAACAATCCTGTTTGTTGAATCAAACGTTCGTTTGTTTGCTTCGTTCCGAAAGACAAATTTGTTTCAATTAAGGGAATTTTATTAAACTCAAAAAAAAAACATTTTTTCTCTGTGTAAAAATGGAAATTCTTTTTTTTTTCTTTTTTCCCGCTTCTTCCGTCTCTATAACTGTTATTTGTAAGTGCATCGTTATTTTTCCTTTTTTATAATAAAAAAATAAATCTCTTTTTCCCGTACATACGTTATAAACAAATAAATATACAACATACAAATGTGTTACTGTAAATATGCGTCGTTGCATTAATTAAATATTGAAATGTTTATACGAAAGCAAGCTACGTGTACATTGTCGCGAAACGAATGAATTTCCACGGGTCGATTGAATAAAAAAGTCGAGAATAATTTGCAAGGGGGTTAACGCGACAGACATCACTCAATAATCGACGTGCACGACGAATCGCGAAAAGTTTAGTCGCGAGCGGGTCTCGACGTGCGAGCCTCTTTTCATTCCGTCGCGCTATTTATCGACGTTCTTATCGGGATATATTTTAGCCTCTGCTAGCGGCGGTAAAGCGGCGAGTCGGCCGATGCAATCGTTTGATGTCTCGTCGGGTTGTCTCCGACGAATGTAAAAACGCAAGCGGCGGGAGCGCGAGCGTGGGCGCGAGCGAGAGACAGAACGTCAATTTCAGTAGTTGGAGCGCGGCCAGAGTTGTGTGTCATGGGATCGATCGAAGATGCTTGGCAACTGGATGCGCTATAGGGAGGCGTCCCGACGCCGTCCCATCTTTTTCCCACTTCCAACGCGCGCGCGTCGCAGGATGAAAAGCCGCCGAAAATTCGAGATTACTTTATTCGCCGCCACCTTCGCGCGCACTCCGACGCGCGCCATGTCAGACGGGGTATGTGTATACATCACCCGCTATCTCAAATTCGTCATTACGACGATCGGCCTGATTAACTCCGACAAAGATCGGGAACGTCGCAACGGCGACGGACCTAATCTCTCGTGCGGCTGAATATATCAAGGTTATTATCAAGGTAGTTTCGAAGAAACGGGCGATGGGAAGAAAAATTTTCCATACAAAGGGAAGAGGGAATAGCTAGAGAGAGACGGAAGAGAGGAAGATAAATGTGCGGAGAAAGAAGATTGGTTGAATTAATCTGAGTACACAGAAAAAAATTAGTTTTAAATCAAGAGTAGATATTCTCACGTATAAGCGAGAATTTATAATTATAATCTTCTTAGAAAAGTTTTTTAACCTTGAATTGAGCACAAGTAATACTTGCATTAATTACAAATTCAATCAAATCAAGATTAAAAATCTTCCAAGAAAATTATAATATTCTTGTTTATATATGAAAACATCTATTCTCGATTTAGGACTAATCTTTCTTTTGTATAGAAATGTGTATCTGGTTGGCCAAATCAAAAGCTAGTAGCTAGCCAATATAAGCGGGATTACATTTTCTAGCTAGTTATTAGTTCGTTACATAGTATGGCTAACAGCGACGTTATATACAAATTTACTGTTTCACTGCTAGACACCGACAAGATCTTCCATTTTTACCGGAGTACCATTTCTACCGTGACAATGAACGAACCAAACGCGTTTCCCACTGAAGGAAACGGAATTTCTGGTTGAGAACCCAATTTGGCTCATAAGAACCAGGAATTCCGTCTCTTTCAAGCGAAACGGTTCGTTCATTGCCGCGTTATAGGAATGTCATACTGAAATGATGAAACCTGGTTGACGAAATACTGGTTCTTTCCTGCGAAGTTACGTCTTATTGGTTGCACAGAATGATAAAAGTTCTTACACAGTAAAAATACGCACGAAAATGAAATGGAGCAATGCTCAGTACGCGGCGAAAATGATTAAAAGTGACATTTCTAGTTGTCAGCTGGCGTAAATATTTACTTGATATAGAAATCCTGCAGATTGTACACATCGAATATGTCAGAATTCGTAAAATATATAGAAAGCGATTCTCATTAATCAAGATACAATCAGACGCAGTAAGTCTGTATTCCAGATGCAATTACGTTTAGCGAAGGGCTCAGAACCGGCGCTATAAAGATATCCGGAGGAGAGCGAAGCGTCTAAAGACCACCAGGTGGCGACAATATTTGCGTCCGATGCAATTTAATTAGATGATACCGCGCGCGAGTTCGTTGGCTTATCCGTGCACACGTATAACGCGTGCACCCGTTAATCCTTGTCGCGTAATAACCATGATATATTCATTCGCTCGGGATTATCGTAATCGAATATCACGCACGTAACAGGATAGTGTCTACTTACCACCCTCGATGGAGATTGCGTTGATAGTGGTGTCGCCGCCCTTGATCTGCACGTTTCCGCGATACCAAATGATCGAGGCTGCCGGCTTGGCGGAGCGGACGATGCATTCGAGCCGTCGAGACTCGCCCACCTTCACCTCGATCTTCTTCTTGTTCGGATGACTGCTGATCTCCACCTTCCGCGGGGGCGCTGAAAAGAGAAAAAGGATCGCCGTCAAGCCACCGTGGGCATTTTCTCTCGGAATCGCTAGATTTTCAATTAAACCGATTACAACGCGCGGAGGAAATCGTCGAAACCGCGCGACATTGTATTCATTATTTTTTAAATATATCTCCTGTGGAAGAGGATGCAGAGAGGGAGAGTAGGACGGCTCTTGTTCGATCGCCAACTCGGTATACCGGGTGTTCCAAACTCGTAACGATATTCTAATTTAGAGATGATCTCGTCTTAATGAGCACGAACCGAGCGACCAGTTATAATTCTCCGATAATCGATATTAAATATCCCGGTAATTAAATTTTACGTTAAGGATTCTACGTAAGTCTCCGTTGAAATTTAATTAAAGAATAAGATCCCGCTCGTTACCTACTCCCTCTCAGCAGCCCTCGAGGGAGGGCTTATTTGGCGGAGAGGCTGATTTTCAGCTTGAAAACCGAGTGTGTTTCAACCGAGCATCGACCGCACCACGATCCCTCCGGATCGAAACTGTTTGCCGATCTTCGCGTCGCAAACACACAGCCCGGTTAAGTACGCCGTAGGCAGTGGACGATTCGAAAACGCGCATCCATAGGCAGCGATACAGCGTTGAATCGCTTTCAAGCAAATCGTGCATATCGTATACATAGATTTCGAACAGTGATAAACGACGCAATCTGCTGATTTCGGACGATTCGCTCGCTCCCTCGCCCGTGTTTTATAGCGGGCGGCCTCGCGCGCACCAATCCCCGCGATCGAGTTAATTTAATGTCAGAATAGGGCATGGCCGATTTATCGCCGGATTCTATTAAGCGTATATAGAAAACCGTTCTCGTCGGCGCAATAATTATATACGGCCGGGTGTGGCGCGTCGCGTGTTTAGCCCGATCGAACTGCTTCCACTTAGAAGCAATAACTCGCTCGCCGAGTACGTGACTGTGGCAGAAAGTGCGCGCGGATTCCGCGAGATAAGAGGATTATGAGCGATAATGACGCAGTGCACAAAGATAGACACTCCTTCGGCAGCCGAAAGTTGATTCGGATTAGAATTAGAGATATGATCGCATTTAATATAATGATATTTGTACGATAGAAAATACTTCCTTGTTTATCCGCCGCGTGAAACAGGTGTGTTTTGATAATGCTATCGAGTTCTCGGTTAATTTCCTGTCGCGAGAGAAATTGAAGACTCGAACAGAAATTGAACCTCATAAAAAATTAGAGCTGAAATCTAGCTATGGTAGTAGGATGGCCAACTCTTGATCAATCAATTATCGACCTAAAAAAATCGGGACACAACTAAAATATCGGAACTTTTGATAAAAGATAAATAAATCAGATAATCGTAGGTAAGTAAAATATTTATTCATTATCATGTCAAGATCAAATAATTAACTGAATATACTTTTCTATTGTATTTTAATATATATAATCATTAAGTTATATGTAAAAACAGACTGATCAAATTCTTGAAATAAAATCAAAAAATAATCAACGGAACATAACTGCATTATATTATAATTATGTTTTAATATAAATAATCATTATACTTAAAATTAGACTGATATTTTTGAAAAAGTATTAAAAGAACTATCAACAAAACATGAAATATGTAATTAAATATTTACAAAATAAAATAATAAAATAATTTCAATAAAAGAAATTAAGATCTGTTTAAATAGAAACTAAAGTAATCATTTCTTTAATCAATTACTAACTATAAAAATATATATGTAAAATATTTCAAAGCTTGAAATTATATTTTTTTACTTCATATATTTAATCATGTCTTTATTCTTCAGAATATGGTGGGATTCTTTATACATAAATAGATAATTAATCTTAACTTGTAATTCTGGTGTTAATATATGTTAATTTTGTCCGAAATTTAGCCATTTTATTTGATTTACTGCGATATATTCGTGCTAATAATTTTAGCTAATAAAGTTGTACCTCGCAACAAATGCATTTTACCTCTAATAGCTAACTTTTAGCAATGATAGCAAAGTTCGAACTAGCTAATGAGATTTAGTTGCTATTACTAAATCACTTCTCTGAGTGCGGATGTCTAGCCACGAGGTAATATATTTGGCATAAATTTACTGCCTCGTGTAATGTTTACATTAATGTTGCTACTAGCCAGTAACGTAACACTTATTTCACTTAATGGTTAGATACATAAGTTGGCTGATGGTTAAACAAAAGAAATTAATGTTGAAAAATCACAACTTTTGTTACCAAGCAGTAACATAACGCTCACTTCCGATTTTTTCCATTTTTTATAGAATAACGTAAAGCCTCCAATTTTGACTTGCTATCTCATTTTTAAATGTGCTAGTGGCGGCAACATAGTATCTAGATTATATATTTTCGAATAGACAACGCCATTCACATATCTCTATCATCATATTTGTAGTGTAATTATTAGACAAAGGATCGCAAAACCGAATCTACCGTTTTATATTTAGCGAATAATCAATAATTAACGAGCTAAAACATGTAGCCTGCACAAGCTAACTACTAGCTTTTAACTCAAACCGACGAGATACGTTCGTACTCGGTGTATCACGGAGAATGCAGGTTTCCGCGCGAGTTTGCCTTCGAAACGCGTGGTTGTGTATTCCCGCGTCCTTTTATTTCACAGCTGTGGCGTGCTCGGGGCGGTTGATTTCGAGGTGGAAAAACACGGGAGACTCGATTCGAGAGATTCGAGGCGAGGCCGGGCGAGGTGAGTAGCGAGGTTGGAGGGGAAATGAAAAGTGAAAAGATCCGCTGACAATTATCCGATTGACCGGCTGATTTAAATTTAATTACCGCACCGACGCCGGTGTCTCATCGCGCGCTGACAATGTAATTTTTCGATTTATTACGAATGTATGACAAATCGGGAAGCTGTCATCGGTGGCGTATTATCGAGGGCTACTTGTGCATCCATTCAGCCATCCGCACGATCGGTCGACGATGTATCAAACCGAGCCGTCGTCTGCTTCTCGTTATTGACACAGCTGGACGTACTTCATGTAATAACGCGCGCCTCTCCCCGGATAAATAGGATCCGTATTATGAAACCGCCGGCGGAAATGTGCGGCTCCTCGTTAATAAAATTTTATTCCTGCCCTTTGCACCGTACACCATACCACGGCCGCATAAGGACAGCGCAGACGGAACTGAACGACTTTTTCGCCGGAGAGTATCCATTCGTGCCGTGACTCCCGAAAATGAACCGTATCGCGGTAGGACACGCGCGCAATTACCAGAGCTTAACGAGCAAGAAATTGATGAAAATTTCATCGCGGGAAATTGGCGAGAATTTCATCGTCGGAAATTCGACGGAGATTTTCGAAATCATTCGCTTTAATTGGCAAGAGAGAGAGAGAGAGAGAGAGGAGCGTTTGTAACACGCGTATCTCTTTCCCAGCCCGTCGGGATCCATTCTGTCGCCGGGGAAAATTTCACAAGCTCGCCTCCGCGAGATGACACGTCGCTCCTTCGGAAAAATTGCCGCGAACAACGCGTCTCGACAAAAGCGAAGCCGATCGAAGGCCGAACGCGCGAAAGACACTTTACGCAGCCGAACGGTGACAATGAGGGCGACGCTGATGCTGCTTATCCGGCCTCACTCCTGGCCCTCGAGTTTATATTGGCAGTCGCTCGGAAATCCTCCGGGGGATGACTATCCGGAAGCTACTTCGTCACCCCGTGCGAACCCCTTTCTCCTCCGTCGGTCGTCGACGTTGCGCGCCTCTGTGCGTTCCGGCTTCGCTACCCATTACAGGGCTGAGATAAATTTTCCCACTTCGATATCCTCCTGGGCGCATTCGAGGGCCGCGTTCGTCTTCTCGGGGGCGTCGCGCGGAGCCTGCGTTCCGCCAAGATGCCGATATAAGGCGCGCGGCGCACTACCGTCGGATGCCGCAGAGACAAACGTAATGGTCGTTACGCGCGCGTTTCCTGACGGCGAAAGGTTGTTACGCCGGTTGCTTCTCCTCTCTTTCTTTCTCGCTCCTCTTCCTTCCTCTCTGTTATGGCCTTTCTCTATTTAATATTTCTCCATTATTCGGGTACTCATTTATTTTCAGTCCTTTCTCCTACTTATCACATTTTTTTGTATGTCGAGTGGATCCTAAACATTATAAGGTCTGTTCTGTCCCCCCGTCTCGCTCGCTCCTCCTTTATCTTTTTCTTCTTATATTGTTGCGCAGCGAGCGAAATTGCTCCCGATGTCGTTCGTGAGATTTTAGCGCATGATATCACGTACGTTGTTTTTGAACGACGCTTTTTCTCAGTCCTTTGGTCTTAACGGGAATGGGGTTGGCGCGATTAACGAGTCACGGTGGTAAGGAAGTAACGGGAACGAGCGCGTCGAGTGACGAGATTTCGCGATTTTTTCCCGCTATTTACCGAATGACGGACAAGAACGATGGCATCTTCGTGCGCACATTCTCTCCTCTTTTTCCCCGTATCTTCCTCGGATTATTCTCATCGTGACGGTCGTTTTTATATCTATAAAATGTTCCATCGAATGTCTATCTGGGTAGAAATCCCGCGACAAAAATACGAGATGAGAGACTCACTCCTTCCTCGGCCGACGTTTCGCGAAATTACGTCGTTTACCTGAATATCGCGCGACTTACGATTAAGTCTGAAACGTTTAAAGCCCTCGGTCGGAATGGTGGAGGAGCAATTATTGTTGGCACGCGAAATGAAATGATATTACCGTAACAGTCGTAGCGGCCGAATTAAATTCAAATTACAATGTCGGTGTGAATGCAATAGTTAACGCCCTATCGCGTGCGTTATCTCCGACCGGTAAACCGGTCTCCCGAGGTTACTTTTGCGCCGTGAGCGCTCATTTTTCGAAGAGACCGTCGCGACGATGGCGCTTCGAGTAAATAACACTTGGAACTTTGATTAGGGTTTACGGTGCGAAGTAAAATGAGGAATATTTATCTGATAAATGTTAGTCTAACTCTTATTGGCAGCGATACGATAAT